CCCCGGGCCCGGGAGCGCGGCGCCGCGACCCCCGCCGTACCTTGCCGCTGGCCGTGCCCCCGCTGACGCCGATCAGGAAAGGCTCGCCGCCGTTGGGCTGCTGGTGGTTCTGCAGGGTCTGCTCGCTGTCCCCGGCCATGGCTGGCGCCGCCCCTCCTCCCGCTGCTGCCGACGGACGCACGTTCCCCGCCCGCGCCCGCGTCGGGCTCCCCCGCTGCCCCGCAGCCGCCGCAGGGCGCTGCCCGGGTCCCTGCGAGCCGCCCGGAGCTCGGCCGTGGGGCTGCCTTTCCCGGAGGCGCCGAGAGCCTGCCTCTTGCCCGCAGCGGCCGGCTCGGTTTACAGCCCAGGCGGAGGTCAGCGTGATGCTAATGCTCCAATCCGGGCGGGCAGCGCGCTGCTATTCGCCGAGGCGGAGGCGGCGAGGCGGCCGGCCCCAGCCTCCGCCCCTCCCGGGCCCCGCCGCCGCCACCCGAGGTCTCCCGGAGAGGTGTGAGCCCGGCCCTCCTCCCCCGTCACCCGCCCGGTTAACCCTTTCCTCGGCGACCTCCGGCGGACCGACGGAAGGCAAACACGCGCTCGGCGCTTTAATTGGGTGTGCTACCCCCTCTTTCAAAGGGGATACGAAGCTACCAGGGCAGAATGCCAGCGCCCCAGGTTTGGGAAGCAAAATTCGAACAAGCAGGGAAGATTAAGACGAAGCAAAGAGTTAATGTCATTTGCCCATTATTCAGGCTAAAAACTTGCGTTTTCCCCAAATGAAAAAATTTCCCCCTTCCGTTTGCCAAAATATGTCAGACGCTGGCTTTCAATATTTCCTCTCTTGGAAACACCATCCTCCTTAGCAGGCGACTGCCTAGAGTCCTTGTCCCTAGAGAAGGGTAATGCGGGGGGGGGGCGGTATCTAAAGGGCACATGCTCTCCAAAAAGCAAGGCCGTTTCAAACCATAGTTTGAAATCACAAATACTGAGGTTCCTGTTGAATTAGGATTTGTGGAAACATTAAAATAATAATTAATGCCATTTTGACCCATTAATACCTTTAAGTGAACTGGTTTTTCATTCAGAGATGGGCAATTAGTCACTTGATTAGAAAGGCAGGATCCACTGGTGACTCAGCAGCCCCCACCTCTGAAGGCAGATTTCTCTATTCACACGCAGTTCCACGAGCAAGTTACATAATCTCCCTGTGCCTCGGTGTTCTCATCTGTTACATGGGAATAATGACCACTCCATCCTAGGATTGTTGCATTAAATGAATTGTTATATTAAAGTTCTTAGAATAGCTGCTGGCATAGTCTAGGCCCTATGTAAGAGTTGGAAGGGAAGAGGCCCCTTCAAGGCTGGGACCCCAAAGGGAAATTTTGTTGGGGTACAGGGGGGGGAGAGGTAGGATTAGATCAGTAGCTTCCAGTCTCTGCCCCTGTGAATCTGGAACTGATGAGCTGACTGGCTCCTACAGGCTAAAAGAGAGTTGAAGTCAATAGCATTCTTTTCAAACTTAGTTATCTTAAATTCAGAATTCTTTTGGAAAAAAAAATTGCTAAAGAAAATTAAGAATATTAGAAAGCACAATGTTCTTTTCACTTCTGACATATTTCGTGTCCCCATCCAAAATCACTCCACAGAACCTCAGACAGGAGGCTAAGATAGAGAGAGTGGCTACCTGGTTGGGAGAGGTCAGCTAGAAGGAGGGTGCCTTACCACAGGGCTGTTGGGTGGGTGGGTTGTAGCTGATTCAGGAGGCTGCCTCTTCTCCCCAACGTCTTTTCTCCACTATAAAGAGATCTAAGTCTTCAAAGACTTTTTTTTTTTT